AGAAAATTGAAAAGAAGACATGAAAAAGAGAAGAAGAAGAATGAACAAGAAAAATGTCAAAAGAAAAAGAAGAATGAAAAAAGAAGGGAAGGGTTGAAATAGAAGAATGAATAAGAGGAAATCAAGAAGAAAGAAAATGAAAAGGGAAAGAAGAAAAAAAAGAATTAAGAAGAAGAATGAAAAGAAAAAGAAAAAATAAGAATGAAATAAAGGAAAGAGAAAAGATAAGAAAAATGAAAAGAAAAGAAAAAGAAAAAGAAAAGAAAAAAAAAAAGAGAAGAAAAATAAATGAAAAAGAGAGAAAAAAAGAAAAAGAAAGAAAAGATAAAAAAATGAAAAATAAGAAGAAGAAAAGAAAGAATAAAGAATGAAAAGAAAAAAAGAAGAAAAAAAGAAAAAAGAAGAACCAGAATAAAGAAAGAAATGAAGAATAACCAGATATGACAAAAGAAGAAGAAAAGAATAGAAAAGAACGAAGAAGAAAAAAAGAATGAATAAGAAGAAGAAGAACAAGAATGAAAAGAGCGACAAAAAGAACAAGAATGAAAATAGAAAACAGAAGAACAAGAATGTGAAAAGAAGAAAAAAAAAGAAGTGAAAGAAGAAGAAAAGAACAAAGAATGAAAAGAAGAAGAAGAAGAACAAAAAGAAAAGACAAATGAAAAGAAGAAGAAGAAACAAGAATGAAAAGAAGAAGAAGAAGAACAAGAATGAAAAAAGAAAGAAGAAGAAAAGAATGAGAAAAGAAGATGAAAGAAGAAAGAAGAATGAAAAGAGAAAGAAAATGAAGAATTCCAGTACAGCAAAAAGTGTATCTGCAGAGAAGCTCCGCTATTTCTGACACGTTCTCTGACAGTTCCTTCACATTATACAGCGTTGAAACATTGTATCTTATTTATTTTTCCGAATAAAAACATCTGTATCCTAAATGGAAACAAATAGATACAATGTTTCAACCGCTGTAAATGTGAAGGAACTGTCAGAGAACTGTCCAGAATAGCGGAGCTCTCTCTGCAGTGACACTTTGTTGCCGGCTTGATCGGGAAAATTCCGATTCGTGCATTCGAAGTTTGCTAAAATTCGGAGCGAATCGAATTTTTTCCCTAATATTCGAAACGAATTTCCACTTCGCCAAGTTCGATTCGCTCATCTCTACTCATCATACATCTGTTTGCAGCTTGACTGTACCTGTTACATTGTCATCACAGAACCATGCTTATCTAGCAAAAAAGAGTCCCACAATAGGGATGGTGGTGAAACTTTGTCAACAAACCAGCCTCACATTGGAGCTGGATACGTTAGGACAGCCTTTCTCAACCAGGGTTCCATGGAGGCCTAGGGTACCTCTAAAGGTTGCTAGATGTTCCTTGAGCTGTGAACAGTTTTCACCTTTCAGATAAGTAACCACTGGATATCAATGACCATTTTTAGCTATCTGTAAATGGAGTATCCTGGTGTATTCCACTGACCAGCAAGGTAAGAAGCATACTTACCACTGACCCCCCTGTGTAACAGGGTGCTTTTCTCATGGCCACCTGTCAGGAATGGACTTGCCAATAACGGTGGGACTCAGCTGCCTTGTGGGCTGCAGTACCAGGGCTGGCCAGCGGGTGCTCTCAGCAATCAGAGACTCACCCCTGCAGTCAGCCAAAACACCTGAAGCTGATTGCAGGGGTTGTATTTAAGGAATGGACAGACTCACAGTCAGGGCCCTGGTGTGTGTTTTTCCATGGGCCCCTGTATCTTGTAACCTGCATTCCTGTTCCTGTTTCTGCCTGACTTGTTGCCGACCTGCCTGATCCTGACCTCTGCTGACTTCTCCTGTTTGATCTCTGGCTTGTGACCCTGACCATTCTCTCCGCCTGCTCCTCCTGTACCTACCTGCCCGATAGTTATTGACCCGGCCTGCCTGACTACGTTGTGCTCTATATGTGTATGTAACTGTGTAACCTATATCAGTTTAGGTTTGGGTTTGTTTCACCTTGTTGTATGTATTTGTGTTAGCTTGGGGTTTGGTGCACTGCGTTTATGTTTGTATTGTTAGTCTCAATAAATTATATTATTTACTATATCTGAAGCCTACGTTTCCCTGTGTCAGTCCCACACACTTCTGGTCACACCCGCATCCCTGACACCACCAATGTAGGGAGGTCCTTCCACCACTGATCGCCAATAGTGAATAAATAATGAGAAGTCACCATTTTGCTTGAAAGCACATTGTGATGTAGCAGTTTTTAAATATATAACAGAGTATATTCCATGGTGAGTGACCTGTACAAATACATCTTTACCACTCACAGCAAACACACTATTTTAGTTTCTGGAAGTAGTGAAGGAGAAAACATTTTATGCAAAGCTATTTGCTCAAGATTTGTAATATATTATCGTTATGATGGAGTATGTGTAAGATAATATCAGACTTTGTGGTAAATAACTCTTTTAAACTCCAGCCAAAAGGTTAGAATTTTTGTTCAGTTTATTAATTGCTGCATGTATGCAGTGGTGTATTTGGGTTTTGTGCTACCCTAGGCAACGCAAAAATTGGACACCCCCCCCCCCCCCTCCCCCGGTGGAGAGAGCTTGTCACTGACTAACTCCAGATCCCCACTTCCCATGGAGAAAGCCTTCACAGCTCTGGCCATCCCCAGGAACGACAGTTGAGCTCTGCATACAACATCAAGCAGCCCACAGCCTCTCTTGGAACCCACCTGTTCCCAATGTCCCTTCTTCCGAGGGGCAGTACTGCCCCTCTAAAAAAAAATGCCACCCTAGGCAAATGCCTTGTTTGCCTTGTGGTAAATACGCCCCTGCATGTATGTCCCTTTTGGAGTTGTCCCATCATGTCTTCTAATGATGACCACTGGCAATGAGTAGAAAGTGAGGGGTAATCTCCCTAGTATGGACAAAACCAAAAACTCCAGAAAGGTCCTACCTTTACTTAACGTTTTTGGTTTTAGTGTCCCTTTTGGTTGGATTTTCTCACATCCTAGCTGGCAGAGACATCCCCAAAAATAATGCAGCTGTAATTGCTGCAAAAGGTGGTTCCACAAACTATTGACTCCGGGGGGGGGGGGGGGGCTGAATGCAAATGCATGCCACACTTTTCACAGATTTATTTGTAAAAGATTTTGAAAACCTTTTATCATCTTCGCAAGCATGTGCCACTTTGTGTTGGTCTATTATGTAAAATCCCAATAAAATACATTTACGTTTTTTGTTGGAACAGGACAAAAATTTTGAAAATTTCAAGGGGTATGAATACTTTTTCAAGGCATTGTACATCATGCGGACAAGTCACTATAGTTGTATAATAAGGGCTGAATCAAGCAGACAAGTCACAATAGTTCTATAATTAGGGTTGGGTCAAGCAGCCAAGTCACTATAGTTGTATAATAGGTACTATATCATGCAGCCAAGTCACAATAGTTGTATAATACGGGCTGAATTGAGCAAACAAGACAAATACGTCTATAATTAGGGTTGGATCAAACAGGCAAGTCACAATAGTTGTATAATACGGACTGAATCAAGCAGACAAGTCACAATAGTTGTATAATACGGGCTGAATCAAGCAAACAAGTCACAATACGTCTATAATTAGGGTTGGATCAAGAGGCAAGTCACAATAGTTGTAAGCAACGGACTGAATCAAGCAGACAAGTCACAATAGTTGTACAATACGGGCTGAATTGAGCAAACAAGTCACAATACGTCTATAATTAGGGTTGTCTATAATCAAGCAGGGTATGGGCTGAATCAAGCAGGCAAGTCACAATAGTAATTAGTATAATAGGCAAGTCGGACTGAATCAAGCAGACAAGTCACAATAGTTGTATAATAGGTACTACATCATGCAGCCAAGTCACAATAGTTGTATAATAAGAGCTGAACCAAACAGTCAAGTCCCAATAGTTGTATAATAAGAGCTGAACCAAACAGGCAAGTCACAATAGTTGTATAATAGGTACTACATCATACAGCCAAGTCACAATAGTTGTATAATAAGAGCTGAACCAAACAGGCAAGTTACAATAGTTGTATAATAAGAGCTGGATCAAGCAGACAAGTCACAATAGTTGTATAATAGGTACTACATCATACAGCCAAGTTACAATAGTTGTACAATAAGAAGTGGATCAATAAGTTACATAAGTTCAATTTTGGGGTACTTGCTCGTGGCTGAGATACAATCTCAACATTTTATCTGCATAACTGACATTTTCAAGTGGTCCTTGGCTTTGGAAAAATGTGGGTAAATTTTAGGTAATGTGTAATAAAAATTAGCTTTACTCTGTAAAAAAAAAAAAAAAAACTGCCTGATAGCGAATAAATAACATGAAATCTCTGTATTTTGTTTGAATTCATGCTGTGATGTATAAGAGATTGTTAAAGTGTGATATAAATTTCATGGTAATTCAATTGTAATTTCAAAATTAAATCTTGGGAAAATCCAGAGAAACAAAAGACATACCATGCATAAAACAATGAAAAGGTATGACATTGGAAACAAGTTAACACTGTAGAGTGCCATGACCCTTATAGGACTCTCAGAAAGTACAGTGTTCAAATTTTCCAGATTTGCTTAGGCACCCCATGGATTATGCCATTTTCTTTCCTTCCACCACAGGTGGAAAGAAGGAAAATCGCTCGATTCCCTCACCGACACAGTCAGTGTTGATGAGGGAACCCCTCCCGCAGTGCTTTTGTGTTCTGCCTGGAGCGTGGGGAGCCTTCCCGGCCGGCAGCATATAATGATCACTGCTGGTGGCTATAGTCAGTGCCAGTGATCACATGAAAAAAATGGATAGATGGATGGAATCTCTGCCAGTCCCTGCTGAAGCAGCTTTCAATTCATCTGTGGCCGGATTTAATGTAAACTGCATGGAATGGTGGATAAAACTAGGCTCAGATTGGGCACTCAGCTCACACTATTCAAAATGAGTTGAAGAAATGTTTAAAGGTATATCTCTTTAAATTCTCAATCCATGTGACAGTCTCACCTTAGCTTTCGGTGTTGCCTTTATAGTCCATATGCAGTCCACAGCCTGACCAGCCTTTAGTTTATCCCCCTGTTCCACCTGGCTGGATCGGATAATTCCATCTGGTCCAGATAACTCGAACTGACAGTCTGAAGAAAGCAAAGGAAGGTGGTCAGCAGAACAATGAGGGTTTTTCAGAATCAGACTCTAAAAAAACTCATACAGACCTGGTATTGGGCTTAGAATACCTCCGAGATAGCTGAAGTCCGGGTCTACAAGAAAATACAAATTATATCATAGTTACATAGTTAGTCTGGCTGAAAACAGACAAAGGTCCATCCAGTTCAACCATGCAAAAAAAAAAAAAAAAAAAGTTATAATCCTACACCTACAGTCCATATCAGACTGTTTATTTCTTGCCCTAAAGCTGACATACTGTACCTTGCCTCCCCCCCCCCCCATTCATAATGATTACAGAAATCAACCAAATGGCCCGGATCAAAAAGGTTTCCATCCCCTGGAATGTTTGGCCTTGGTACAGACACACAAGGTGACACACACAGGTTACAATGACAATTAAACGTTCATTTCCCACATCTGTGGTGTTTTAAATTGCAATTAGTGTCTGTGTATACAGTGCCTTGAAAAAGTATTCATACCCCTTGAAATTTTCCACATTTTGTCATATTACAGCCAAAAACGTCAATGTATTTATTGGGATTGGATGTGATAGATCCACACAAAGTGACACATAATTGTGAAGTGGAAGGAAAATGAGAAATGGTTTCCAACATTTGTGGCAATAAATCTGAAAAGTGTGGCGGGATTTGTGTTCAGCCCCCCCGGAGTCAATACTTTGTAGGACCCCCTTTGGCTGCAATTCCAGCTGCAAGTCTTTTTGGGGATGTCTCTTTGCACATCTAGAGAGGGACATTTCTGCCCATTCTTCTTTGCAGAATCGCTCAAGCTCTGTCAGATTGGATGGAGAGCATCTGTGCACATCAATTTTCAAGTCTTGCCACAGATTCTCCATTGGATTTGGGTCTGGACCGTGACTGGGCCATTCTAACACATGAAGATGCTTTGATCTAAACCATTCCATTGTAGCTCTGGTTGTATGTTTAGGGTGGTTGTCCTTCTGGAAGGTGAACCTCTACCCCATTCTCAAGTCTTTTGCAGACTAACAGGTTTTCCTCTAAGCTTGCCCTGTATTTGGCTCCATTCATTTTCCCATCAACTCTGACCAGCTTCCCTGTCCCTGCTGAAGAAAAGAATCCCCAAAACATGATTCTGCCACCACCATGTTTCACGGTGGGGATGGTGTGTTCAGGGTGATGTGCAGTGTTCGTTTTCCACCACACAACGTTTTGCTTTTAGGCCAGCAAGTTCAATTTTGGTCTCCTCTGACCAGAGCACCTTCTTCCATATATTTGCTGTGTCCCCGGCATGGCTTCTCGCAAACTGCAAACGGGACTTCTTATGGCTTTCTTTCAGCAATGGCTTTCTTGCCACTCTTCCACAAAGGCCAGATTTGTGGAGTGCACGACTAATAGTTGTCCTGTGAACAGATTCTCCCACCTGAGCTGTGGATCTCTGCAGCTCCTCCAGAGTTCCCATGGGCTTCTTGGCTGCTTCTCTGATGAATGCTCTCCTTGCCCAGTCTTTCAGTTTAGGATTCAGGATCCACCAATGTAAGGGACATTCTTCTCACTGACCACCAACGTAAGGAGAATTCTTCCCACTGACCACCAATGTAAAGGTCATTCTTCCCACTGATCACCAATGTAATGAGAATTCTCCCCACTGACCTCCAATATAAGACGTATTCTTCCTAAAGACCACCAAAGAAAGAAGCATACTACTTCCCACTGACCCCCAATGTAAGGAGCATTCTTCCCACTGACCCCCAATGTAAGGAGCATTCTTCCCACTGACCACCAATGTAAGGAGCATTCTTCCCACTGATCCCCAATGTAAGGGACATTCTTCCCACTGACCACCAATGTAAGGGACATTCTTCCCACTGACCACCAATGGAAGGAGCATTCTTCTCACTGACCCCCAATGTAAGGAGCATTCTTCCCACTGACCCCCAATGTAAGAAGCATTCTTCCCACTGACCCCCAATGTAAGGAGCATTCTTCCCACTGACCCCCCAATGTAAGGAGCATTCTTCCCACTGACCCCCCAATGTAAGGAGCATTCTTCCCACTGGCCACCAATGTAAGGAGCATTCTTCCCCTACTGACCACCAATGTAAGGGACATTCTTCCCACTGATCACCAATGTAAGGAGCATTCTTCCCACTGACCACCAATGTAAGAAACATTCTTCCCACTGACCACCAATGTAAGGGACATTCTTCCCACTGATCACCAATGTAAGGAGCATTCTTCCCAATGATCACCAATGTAAGGAGCATTCTTCCCAGTGATCACCAATGTAAGGGGCATTCTTCTCACTGACCACCAATGTAAGGGACATTCTTCCCACTAACCACCAATGTAAGGGACATTCTTCCCACTAACCACCAATGTAAGGAGCATTCTTCCCACTGATCACCAATGTAAGTGGCATTCTTCCCAAAGACCATCAATGTAAGAAGCATATTTCCCACTGACCCCCGATGAGTTGGTTTTAGAAGGGGTTCCCAAGACCTGCACATTATTTTGTGAGTTCCTTGGGGGTAAAAAGGGGGAGAAAGGTTGCCCTAATATAAGGGTGCTCTGTATGTTTCTTTTTGTACCTGTGTGATTAGGATCATTTAGGATCAATGAAGGATAAGGATTCTGAATGGAGAAGCGCCAGAAACGAGCATTGTAAAATATAAAACTTTAGACTAAAACATTTTCTTAAATAACATTTTCAGTAGAATTGGGGAGGCGTGGTCAGACCCTCTGTCAGCTTTTATTGCTGTCTCAGTTGGAACACATCAGCAAAATGCACTAAATGCAAGGGACAATAGCCAATTCATTAAATCAGTTCTGTTTCTGGCAGCATTCCTCCACATTCCCTTTTTACTTCTGGCGTGATGGTAATAGTCACCATCAGTTATAATTAAGTCAATGCTGGACTCCAGGAAAAACAAAGAAATACCTTTAGAATGGGGCTCCTTCTACGCTGCAAGGGTTAAATGCTGATTTATGCCCAGGATACCAGTATAAAGGACATTACTTACCTAATCCATTGCTCCAGCAGGCCCCTTCCATTCTACAAGAACAACTGCTGCAACCTCATCTCCAAGGCACTCCATCATCCATAGGCGCTCTGATGTCATCAAGTACAGTGCAGGGCCCTGCACGTGAGGACACCAAGGGACCGCCCACAACCTGAAGTGTCAGGGAGGAGAGCTGAGCGCCAGCCGCTGGGAGAGCGAAGGATTAGGTAAGTAAAGTCCTGGCTACTGGTACTCTAGACCTAAATGTACATTCAACCCTACGAGGAGCCCCACGATTCAACAGTACGAGGAGCCCCTTGACAAGGGTGTTTTTTTTTGTTTTTGAGTTCACCTATAAAAATTGACCTAGTAGTTATTACCTATTTATTACCGCCCACAGAGATCACAGGACTCCCCCTAACAATTGCCTTTGAATTTGCTTTTCTCTTCAGAAGGGCAGCACCAATTTTGTTTGGACATCATCCAGGGTCACCATCTGCCTCCTGGACTGAGATGCCAGCTCATTGATGACACTAACACATCAATCCTATTGCCTGTGCAATTCTTGGCTATTTTCTTACAGATCAGCCCCTACTGCCCTCTTTCATCCTGTGGCTTTCTATAAAGTTACAATCAAGGTTGGTGCTTCCACTAGGCAAACTAGGCGGCTGTCTAGGGTGCACTGCCACCTAAGGGTGCCTGGCCACAGCAGAGGCTGGCACACTCTCTGTGTGGGATACTGCCATGTCATGAATGATCCACCAGCTGAGAGGAGGGGTGGCAGAGGGGGAGGAAGAAAGGACAGAGGAAGATGCTGAGTGTCTGGGGCCAGTGTAGCAGAGGAGCTCCCGCTCCTTCCAGTGTTCCTCTCAGACTCAGTCCCTTGTTGCAAGCCAGCTGGTAGCTGCTGATCACTGTGGTTTTCCAGCCCTTCTCTTCCCATTCATCAGCGGAGGCGGAGCTGCGCCTGCGAGGAAGGTAATGTCTGATTCTGATGTCTCATGTCTGTGTGAGTGTGACCCAGCCGGCCATCCATCACACATATGCAATGTGTCAGTGAGTGATGACATCATCAGGATCCCACAGCCTGCTCTTCTAGTGCCTGCTGGGCCTGCTGATCTGTGTCAGTGTTGGTGGTGGTGTGTTGTGTCGGATCTGGCATTGTGTGGGATCGCTCAGTTCAGGTGTGTGTGTGTGGGCTGGGCTGCCTGCTCTCACAGTGTTTTTTCTCTCCCCTATTGCCTGCGGAATTCCAGCCTGGAATCTGTCAAAGTGTGAATTTTTAAAAAAAAATTAAAAATGTATCATCTAAGTCATTCTATCTCAACCATTTTACCCCAGAAGAACCCATTAAATTATTTTCAAGTCATAGGGAACCTCTGGTAAGATTAGTCCTTTTTTGGTCATTGGGAAAATGCCCCCTTACATTGGTGGCGGTAAGTGGGAACAATGCCTCCCTTACAGGTGTGGCCAGAATGACACCCTTGCAGCCATAGCACGTGTTCTGCCAAGTGCCGGTGGACCTAGCACTATGCATGTGCTATCAGATGGTAGGTCAGTTAACCAAAGCTCAAGGAACCCCTAGCCATCCTAGGGTTCCATGAAACTCTGGTTGAGAATGACTCCCTCGGGGGGTCTAAGTGATTTCTGGGGGACAGGAGGCATAGAAAATGCTTCCTCCTGCCTGCAGTAGACTGATGAAATTAACTCAGCCTAGGCAAAGTCATTGACTAACTCAAAGACTGCAGTTTAGAGCTAAGGGTGCTTTTTACAAAAAAAAATGGTATTGTTTATTGTATTGCGTTCAAGTTACTGAAAGATCCAAAATTGTGCATTCATCCTGTCCCAGTCCTTGACTTGCTCTCAGATCAGATTACATACAGCCTTCCCACCAATGCTGTGTATCCCGAATATGGATATGTTGGGTCATAATAATAGAGTATTGGAAGTATGGAGCAGAACAAGCCCTTGGTCTCCATACCTGGGATGAAGGAATATTTTGCTCGGAACCCCAGGCCTTCCAGCTCTTCATCGGAGGTGAACTTAATCCACATAAAGCGCCCTGTCGATCTGATTGGTGTTGGGCTCCGAATCCCGCAGTACCGATCGATGAGCGGAGAGAAGCCAAATGGACCGTCTCGCACTTCTAGGTGATCAAAGCGACATTCGAAGGAAGGCTCTATGTGGTAGGGCTCATCGAAGGTCAGTTCAATTCTTTGGCGAGGAGAAGCTAAAGAATGAAAACCAACAGTGTTACAATGTAGTGTAATCACTTTGTAATTAGAATTATAATAAATTCAATAAAATATATTGAAGCAATACCACATCATACACAACACACTGAGCTTCTCTAGGGGACCTTGCACCCAAATGCAAGGTCTGCTTATTAAGTTATGTGAAGCCCTTTCCAGACACGATACAGATGTAGCACCCTCATAGTTAGGTGCTAGAGAAATTATCTTCCCCTTAGTTCTGTTGAGAAACTTGAAGAGCATGGGGCAGGAAGATTCAAATCTGGTTTGAATATTTACTACCCTCTGACCAATCCCTGGGGGGGAGGGGAGGTGTAGGCAGGTGCAGTCTGTTTTCTCCTCTGTAGGTGGCACTTGACGTGAGTGGTACCACAGCCTGGAAAGGAAATCCAGGAGAAATATAGTTTCTCTATGGTTTCCTGGGTCAATGGAGCAGCATTCCGGTAGGCTACACTGTGGCCATGTGACCCTTGGTGGCCATCTTGGGTCAGCAAGGTCTTTATAAGTCCTCGCCCTCCGGTTTTGGGGCATTTTCTGTGAGTGGCTAGTGTAGAGAGAGAGACCCCACTTCTAGGCAAAGTGGGGAAATGTTCCAGATGAGAAGAGACAGGCTAGAGACTTGCTAGCCTGTACATAAGCCTCCCCTCTTGGGACCGGAATGGCCAGGCTGTTCACCCTCTGAAACATTCACTGTTGGCACCTCTTTTCAGCCACATCTTACTCCATTGAACTGTGAGTTATTTCCCACAGTGGCGCTTCTCCCACTAAGATGTTTATAACTTTGGCATTCTACTTAATACAAGTTTTTACTGTAACCAAATTTTATGTGTCCACTACCCACACCATGCTGCATCTTCCCACAGGTTTGCCTAGTAGGTGGTCAGGGAAGGGGGTAAATAGGTTGAAGTCTGGGCTGAGGAATTAGTGGTGCCTGGGTCCTACCCATCTGAGGATAGACTGCTCATGCTTTGATGGGCTGCTTGCCTCTGGAGCCAGCCAGGACTGGTGTTGGACTACCCAGTGCTATGGACAGAACTCCCCAATTCTGGATCTCTAAATTGGGTCTGTGAGTAGATCTTGCTTACTGTGCTGTAGTTCCCATGGTCCCCAGCTATGGATAGACAGATGTTCCAGTTAGCCCTGAACTTGTTCAAGGTTGTACGTGGTTCTCAGTTTGCGAGAGAGTTTTAGGATGCTCCATTCTACCTCAAACTGTGCTAAAACCCCTTTGTTCATGGTCTTCAGCTGTAAGTGTAGTGACTGTGATACCATCTAGAAAGGAATGCCCTTAGCTTGCATTTGCACTCCAGCATTTTGGAGTATTCCCAGCCCTCATTGTTCTCCTTCAGTTCAAGTTTACAGCAATAAACCACAAAAAAAAAAAAAAAGAGAAAAGACATCCCCTAGACTGATTATTGATCCGGTTGAGTGAACTGTTGCTGTGTGCCTGGTTGCCTCTGCACTTTACAAGAAAGAACTTAGCTAAATCCAGAAGCCCCTGTGGGGTGAGGGCTACACAGATAACAATAAATTCCATGTTATCTACCCATAAGACTGCATTCACTATGTAACACGTCACCAAGCATATGTAGCGCCCCTCTAGTTAGCCAGGGGGAGCTAGATAGGTTTTTTTTTTTTTTTTTAGAGAGGCTGAGTAGCAGCCTGAGATGAGTCAGCCAGGTTACTCTGGGCCAGGCCTGAAGGTTCTGCAGGTCAGTTCCCTGATAACTCCCCTTTTTAGAAGCATGAGACGTTTCTAGAAAGCAGTGGGTGGAGGAGAGAGAGGGGCTGATCTGCATGGTTAAGGGATCTTGGTCAATCCCCAAGCAGGAGTTTGGCATTGGGCCAGCAGAGCCCCTAAATATGAAAATGCCTGATCAGCAGGAAGAGTACTGTAGGGTGGAAGATAAAGTGAAGGCTGGAGTATGGAGCCTGGGAGGGGGCCAGGAGTGGGGCCTACCTGCAGGCAGGAGCTTGAGGAGGATCTCTCAGCCTCAACTGTCCCTTGAGAGAGGACAATCTGGGAAGCAGGGAAGGAGCCAGCCCAGCATAAGGCCTGAAGGCAGCTACCAACCCAAAAGCTTGCAGGAGAGGACTGAGTGGGTAATCCCATACACCCTGGGCCAGATATGGGGAGAGGGCCTTCTGGTGGGAAACCTAACTAGCCCCCATCTGGGACTGCTGATTTAAAAGTGACAGATGGGTGAAGAGATTTTATCTGGGGTGAGTGGTACACCAGGAGGGCTGGAAAGCTCTCCCAGAAGAGAATCTTTGTCTTTGACTTGTACATAGTTGCTAAGGAATTTATCCTCAAGTTGTGTTTCCTTGGGCATCCCATACACCCCTCAACCCCATACAATAACCCTTAATAAAACCACAAAAACAAGCTCAGGGGCTGTTTACGGTCTCCAGTGTGCAAGGTCTGAAGAAAATGTGTGTTGGCTGGCTGTGACTATAGGGGGACCCAAAACTCAGCAACTCCTGCTAACACATACATGGACCAAAGAAATGCAACCTGGTGAGGCAGGTACAGTTTTTGGCAGGTGAACACGCTTTGAGGACCCATTGATAAATTAAATCAATACAGTGCCAGAAAAGAAACATTGTTGCACACAGGAACATAAGTAATCACGCTAATTGCACCCACCTTCTAATATATAGACACATTCTTTGTTCGGAGGATAAGTGTTGGGAAAATTTGGGGATGCAAAGTGTCCTCCATTACTGGTTCTGACCCAGGTTCCGCACTGGGTCACAGGGATGTGTTTCGCTCCCATAACCGGTCCATCTGAAATAAATACAAATATATTACGGAATGAAATGACAATGACCCTGTTTACACCGTCTATGTTGCCTAGGGCTTGACCCCTTCCTGGTCTATGGAATAGGAGCCATTCCCAGCTCTTCCTGAGTGCTATTTCATAGATAGCCTGCTAGGCCTACATGGACTATCAATCTGCTGTTACTTCTATCACGGTTTTATTCATCTGATGCCTAAGACTGTATTTTGTACAACAGTATACATATTACTAGCTATTGTTGTCTTGATGTCATGGAAACTGCCTTTTTGTTAAATAAAGAATTGTAAAAAAAAAAGGAATAACAATGTTCCTTCATACAGGCTCCTGTCCCTTTTTACCAACCACCTTAAAGGATAACTGCTACAAGAAAGTAAAATAGAAAAGTCTGCTAGTGGCTGTAAGGTGCCTGTCTCTTAGTGTATCTAAAGGTAACATTTTTTGGGGGGCCGGAGTAGGGAAGGGTTAGGCCTTATGTCAAGTGTTATTGCTCTCAGTGCCCATTTTGAGGAAATGTCCTGCTCTATTTGTTCTGGTGACCATAGTCACGGGGACATAACGCCAAAAGTTTAGAGTTGTCATTGAAGGTGTGAGGTTAAATCCTTCAATAGGGGCAACTTTTCTAGTGAAAACTATCTAATGTCCAATCGATCCCCACAATAGGAATAATCAGTCTATAGTGGACCCTCCTAGTTAGGTGCTAGGCTGATTTTTTGGCTCTTCTGTAATCAGTGGAGCAGAGACTGATTGTTTTGGACTGGTCAGGCTTGATTGATCACCCTGCCTTCTGGAAAGCTCCAAAACCTAGGAGTGGAGCAGGTTAAATAAATGGCCTTTATATATAGGGGGCCTCAGCCAATCCCTGAGGAGGTGTGCCCAGTAAGTGGCTGAGGAGCACATAAAAAGTCTGAGGTCTGGAGACGCCTTGTCTTGTCCAGGAGGAGAAGTTCCAGCCTGAAGAGCCGCTGCCCTACTGGGCAGCCAAGCTAAAACTCTACCTGTGTTCAGAGGTGTGGCAGAGCTGGGGGGGCCTTCTTGCTAAAAGCCTTTGGAGTTGATCAAAGTATTTCACAGAGGATCTGGTCTAGAGGGTTCACTGGGAAAATATCTGACTGATATTGGAAGGAGGCACCTAAGTACCCAGGAACATTATGAGTTGATCAGAGGATTTCACAGAGGATCTGACTGATATTGGAAGGAGGCATCAAAGTACCCAGGAACATTATGTACAGTTGATCAGAGGATTTCACAGAGGATCTGACTGATATTGGAAGGAGGCATCAAAGTACCCTGGAACATTATGAGTTGATCAGAGGATTTCACAGAGGATCTGGTCTGGAGAGTTCACTGGGAAAATATCTGACTGATATTGGAAGGAGGCATCCAAGTACCCAGGAACATTATGAGTACAGACCTAAGTGTAGGATCCATTGCTTATGGCGCCCCAGTGCTGTCCATTTCCTGAGCTATTGCTGAAGGGACTGTTATAAGAAGTAGCTGCAGAATGAAGAGTGTCCTCCTGTTACTGCTCAGCATTCCGGAATATCACCCAGCTCCTTGTGCCCTGTCCTAGTTGTTCCACAATAAATACAAGAAAAAAAAGGCAACCCCTTGACAGCAGGTGAAGTGGGAGAGGAACCGGTGGCAAGTCACCTTTTGGGGTGAGCGCTACAAATGTTATTGATGTAACACAGTCATGTGGCCATGTTGGGTCCAATGATGCCATGAGCATTCTTACCCCTTTGTGCACCTACGGCTGCAGCATGGGAAATGTCCTGGCTGCAGCTTTTTGGGCTGGCACTGGCCGGTTATCATCCAGGTTCGGCCAGACGGGTTCAGACAAAACTCAAGCTCATCCTTAAAGTAGAATGCAACTTTATGCAGGGAAATCTTGCTGTTGGACCATGCAAGACATATAAGGAGCCCACTCAGCTCTATTATATTTAAAAATATATGTTATTTTTTGGGTGGACGGATCCTTTAAATCAGGTTTCTGCCAGCAGTGCCTGTAGGTCAGCCTTTTCCCTCACAAATTTGCTTTAATGTACACTATCTGCAGATGTGTACCACCAGCACTAAATATAGCAGATTCTGGGCAGAAACTCCCAAAGCTGAATGCTGTGCTGTAGAGCAGTGTCTGTCAACTGACGAGCTAAAGGAAGCCTCAAATGTGGCCCCTGACATCCCCAAAGGGCCGCACATAATATTCAATATGTATGTAATTCTTGAGAGGACTGTCAGAAACTGCAGACCTAATAGAGGAAATGAGAGTCATAGAGTGCGGACATGCTACATTTTTGGCTGGTCAGGGCTGTCTTTATAGCATCATGGGCCCCTGGCCAAAGTAATGCGCTGGGGCCCCTACCAGCCTGCCCCAATTTGCGCATCTACTCTCAAGAATTACAGTATAGATAGTTAATAGAATTAAACATATATTTATTAGTACTTTCAATAAAATTGATTTTAAACTCAAAGAAAACATGCCATAAATTAAAGACTAATCAACACAGAAGGCACAGAAAAGGGGGGGAGGGAGGCAGAAGGTCACAGTACGGGGGGGAGTCAGGAGGGCACAATACTGGGATCAGGAGGGCACAGTACAGGGGGAGTCAGGAGGGCACAGTACAGGGGAAGTCAGGAGGGCACAGTACAGGGGGGATCAGGAGGGCACAGTACAGGGGAAGTCAGGAGGGCACAGTACAGGGGGAAGTCAGGGGGGCACAGTACAGGGGAAGTTAGGAGGGCACAGTACAGGGGAAGTCAGGAGGGCACAGTACAGGGGAAGTTCGGAGGGCACAGTACAGGGGGCACAGTACAGGGAAGTTAGGAGGGCACAGTACAGGGATCAGGACGGCACAGTACGGGGGGAGTCAGGGGCAGTACGGGAGGGCACAGTACGGGGGAGTCAGGAGGGCACAGTACGGGGGGAGTCAGGAGGGCACAGTACGGGGGGAGTCAGGAGGGCACAGTACGGGGGGGAGTCAGGAGGGCACAGTACAGGGGGGCAGTCAGGAGGGGGCACAGTACAGGGGGAGTCAGGAGGGCACAGTACAGGGGGCACAGGGGGGAGTCAGGAGGGGCACAGTACAGGGGGGAGTCAGGAGGGCACAGTACAGGGGGGAGTCAGGAGGGCACAGTACAGGGGGAGTCAGGAGGGGGGACAGGTACAGGGAGGAGTCAGGAGGGCACAGTACAGGGGGAGTCAGGAGGGCACAGTACAGGGGGAGTCAGGAGGGCAAAGTACAGGGGGATCAGGAGGGCACAGTACTGGGATCAGGAGGGCACAATACTGGGATCAGGAGGGCACAGTACAGAGGGAGTCAGGAGGGCACAGTACAGGGATCAGGAGGGCACAGTACAGGGATCAGGAGGGCACAGTACAGGGATCAGGAGGGCACAGTACAGGGGGGCAGGCAGGGGCGGACTGACAACTCATGGGGCCCCCGGGCAATAGGGGATCATGGAGCCCCTGTGTCCTTGCCCAAACTCAAAAAAGCCTATGAAAAAGGTACCAGGGGCATCTCATGGGGCCCCCTACTGACCCCAGGCCCTCAGGCAGTGCCCGAGTTTCCAAATGGTCAGTCCGCCCCTGTTCAGGAGGGCACAATACTGGGATCAGGAGGGCACAGGAAAGGTTCTGGGACACTGCTTGGGCCACCCTGGGACAGCTTAGTAAAAATCATGACAGTTGGCAAGTAAGATGAAATGCAATATTATCATGGGGCCCCTATTCACCTGGGGACCCTGGGCAGTGCCCATGCATTAAGAGAGCCCTGTGGCTAGGGATCTGCTGCAGAAAACAATACGAAACTGGGAACATGTTACATGAGCCTGATAGAGAGATCAATGCTTTTACCCCAATGTTCTATCTACAGACTGCTGAGGTCCGAGGGCTGCACATTATTATGTGCAGCCCTCTGACCTCAGCAGTCTGTAGATAGAACAACAAAGGGCCACATACAGCCCTCAAGCCACAGGTTGGGCACCAGGGCTGTAGAGTTAATCAAATTTCAATCAGGTCTTAAATACCAGTAAATATATGTTGTACGTGAGTCTTTTATAGAATATGTTCTGCTGCCTGGTGTCTATAATGGTAGAAGCACATATCATGGTCTCTCCACTGTGTGCTTCCTGCATTCTCAAGACTTGCACTGCCAGGCAATGCCATTTAATAATTGCTGCTAGGGCAACATGAAAAGGTCTCTATTATGAAGAATGTATCATAATTAGATCTTGTTTTATTTCATTAGATCTTTATATTATATTTATTAAGAGCTGTGGAACATTGCCTCGAAACTGACAAATCGAATCTAAGCACAGCAGGTGACGTGAACGGTGCTGGCTATGTACCTACCTGCGTTCTCTGCGCCACAGCGATCCCTTCCACGACCAGTATAGTAATCAGGAGAACTATGAAGAGAAAAAAGGAATGCAGATATTAAAGTGATCTTCCAGTAACTTTACAAGTCTTCAGGAATCAATTCCTGCCATGTCATAATATACAGCAAACTGCTGTGACGCAGGTTTTTTATTGACTGCCTTTTATTCTTCCCATAACAAGGACGTTATTTAGCTGCTACAAATCACTGTTACAAAATCGCTCATGTGACATTGCCCCAAGGCTCAGCAGTTATAAAACCTGTCGTAAACATGGACAATTCAAACTGTTTAGGTGATAAAATAATAGAAGTATGGAGGCTCAGTGATAATCATGCATGAAAACATTTGGTAGAAAGAGGTATGGGTAGCTGGAGTTATTTCCAATAGAGACAAGTACTGTAAAAGTTGAGCTTGACTTAAAGTGAAGGTTGCCCATCACTTTAAAGCCCAGTGGAAGAGGATGGAATCAAGCTTGACTTGCTTAAAACTCTGAAAGTCAAGCTTCGCTCTGTACTTGTGTGCTTTCCTATTGGTCACCAATGTTGCCTATTACATTAAAAGTCCAACTAGGAGGCACAGGAAGTTGGAGAGGGTGGAATTAAGCTTGACCTACTTGCTAGTATGAAAGTCACACTTGGCTCCCTTGTGCTTCCATATTGGTCATTAAGGTTGCCCATCATATTAAATGCCAAACCAGGAGGCTCAGGAAGTGGGAGAGGGTGGGATCAAACTTGACTTGGTTGGTAATGTTAAAGTCAAGCCTAGCTCCATACCCTTTGTGTCTCCCTGTTGGTCAGCAAGGTTGTCCATCACACTAAAAAGTCCAAGCTAAAGTCTCAGGAAGTGGGAGAGGGTGGGATCAACTTGACTTGATTGGTAATGTCAAAGTCAAGCTTGGCTCTATACCAGGGGCGGACTGACCATTTGGAAACTAGGGCACTACCCGAGGGCCCGTGGTCAGTAGGGGGGGCCCCATGAGATGCCCCTGGTACATTTTTCATAGGCTTTTTTGAGTTTGGGCAAGGACACAGGGGCCCCATGATCCCCTATTGCCCGGGGGCCCCATGAGTTGTCAGTCCGCCCCTGCTCTATACCCTTGATCCTCCCTATTGGTCAACAAGTTTGCCCATCATATTAAAAGCCCAACTAGAAGGCTCAGGGAGTGGGAGAGGGTGGAATCAAGCTTGACTTGCTTGGTAATGTAAAAGTCAAGCTTGGATCTGTACCTGTGTGCCATTCTATAGGTCACCAAGGTTGCCTATTACATTAAAAGTCCAACTAGGAGACACAGGAAACTGGAGAGGGTGAAATTGAGCTTGATCTACTTGGTAGTGTGAAAGTCACAGTTGGTTCCCTTGTGCTTCCATTATTGGTCATTAAGGTTGCCCATCATATTAAAAGCCAAGCCAGGAGGCTCAGGAATTGGGAGGGGGGGGGGGGGGGGGATCAAATATGACTTGCTTGGTTATCTTAAAGTCAAGTTTAGCTCCATACCATTGTGTCTCCCTGTTGGTTAGCAGGGTTATCCATCACATTAAAACGTTCAAGCTGAAGTCTCAGGAAGTGAGAGAGGGTGGGATCAAACTTGACTTGGCTGGTACTGTGAAAATCAAGCTTAGCTCTATACCCTTGTGCCACCCTATTGGTTAGCAAGGTTGCCCATCACATTAAAAGCCCAATTAGAAGGCTCAGGGAGTGGAAGAGGGTGGAATCAAGCTTGACTTGCTTGATACTGTGAAAGTCAAGCTTGGCTCTGTACCTGTGTGCCTTCCTATAGGTCACCAAGGTTGCCTATCACATTAAATTCCAACTAGGAGGCACAGTAAGTTGGAGAGGGTAGAATCAAGCTTGACCTGCTTGGCAGTGTGAAAGTTAAACTTGACTCTCTAGTGCTTCCATATTGGTCATTAAAGTTGCCCATCATATTAAGAGTCCAGCCAGGAGGATGTGGGAGAAGGTGGGATCAAGCTTGACTTGGTTGGTAATTGTAAGTCAAACTTAGCTCCATACCCTTGTGTTGGTACTATGAAAGTCAAACTTTGCTCCCATGTACTTCCATAGCCTTCACTGAGGTTGTCCATCACATTAAAAACCCAACTAGAATGCTCAGGGAGTGGAAGAGGGTGGAATCAAGCTTGACTTGCTTGATACTGTGAAAGTCAAGCTTGGCTCCATACCCTTGTGTCTCCCTGTTGGTCATCAAGGTTTTCCATCAAACTAAAAAGTCCAAGCTGAAGTCTCAGGAAATGGGAGAGGGTGGGATCAAACTTGACTTGGTTGGTACTGTAAAAATCAAGCTTGGCTCTGTACCCTTGTGTCTCCCTATTGGTCAGCAAGGTTGGCCATCATATTAAAAGCCCAAACAATAGTGGAAATAGTAGGCTCAAGCTTGACGTGCGTGCCATTTTACAGAAAACGTTGACATTTTCATATCATTTCAGCAGCATCTCACAGCTTTATATAACTTAATGGAACTTGTGGGCTAGTGCCCAGGGCCACATGGTAAGGTTGGCAACACCAAGGCTCAAATATACTGATACATCCTTAATTTGTTAGACTCTTCTGGCCAACTCTGAACATTGGTGGCTTAATTCAGCAAGATAATTGACGGGGAAATGTGTGCAGACAAAGATGAAAAGAGCTGGACATCTAGATTTAATTCAAGAGATGAAAAAAAATACACCTTGGAAACACTACATTTAACATAGCCAGAAAGTCCACGCAACTTAGATCTCTGTAATTCACAGCAACCAAATTACATACAACTCCTCACATGTGAGATGGGTGTGTCTGCTCCCTGAAACCTGAGCTTTACAACTTCCAGTCTTTGCTTGCTGTATCATCAATAAGGGTCTGTTAACATGTTGGGAAATGTATATGCAAGAAGTGTTTTTCCTGTAAAGTAGAGAGGCCATGGGGGTTCACGCTCTCCATATGTCCCTAGAACAGAAAATGATGGGAAATCCAAACTATTACACAAACATTGAATAAAGATCCACCAAGGGTAACCTGAAATAAGGGCAGCTGTCTAAATAGCTAAACACAGTTAAAAATACACATTTACCCAACAAAATAACCTTGTAATCCTTATAGTCCTGCTTCACGGCACAGCCAGGATAGTGACACTGTCATTCTCTAGGACAGGGGCCTCCAAGCTACAGCCCACGGCCACATGCAGCCTGCTATAAAAGATTTTAGCTGGCCCACATCTAGGGCCAGTGGTGTGCACAGACTGAAAATTTAGGTCAACACAGGCTACCTATGGTCTCCATTCTACCCATTCCCCCCATCAGTCTCAAGCACAGGTTCCTTCTGCTGTGTTGTCATCATCCCTTCTGTTGGCTGCTGGGACTGCTAGGAACTTTCTTCATTCAGACCCAGGGGCGGACTGACCATTTGGAAAACTCGGGCACTGCCCGAGGGCCCGGGGTCAGTAGGGGGCCCCATGAGATGCCCCTGGTACCTTTTTCATAGGCTTTTTTGAGTTTGGGCAAGGACACAGGGGCCCCATTATCCCCTATTGCCCGGGGGCACCATGAGTTGTCAGTCCGCCCCTGTTCAGACCTGGTCCACCTCCCAGCTCTTGTCCCACTGCTACTGTCACATTTTAACTGGAGACTTGAATTGGGACCCTAGTGTAAGGAGGGACTCTGTTGGGGACCTTGATGTAAAGGGGCATTCTGATGGGGACCCTAAGGTAATGGAGATTCTGATGAGGACATGATGTATATGGGCGTCACTGATGGCGTAACTATTCTTCTGTGTTATAGCCTCCTAGACTTAATGAGCTTATTGGAACCTTCATAGAACGGGACATCTTAATATCAGCATGGGCCCCTGGTCAAAGTAATGCACTGTGGCCCCTACCAGCCTACAACAATTTTTGTACCTACCCTCAAGAATTAAAGTATAAATAGTTAATAGAATTAAACATATATTTATTAGTACTTTCAATAAAATCGATTTTAAACCTTAAGAAAACATACCGTAAATCAAAGACCAGTCAACAAATATCCAAACAATACAAAAAGTCAGTAGCACAGAGGACAGGGCGTCAGAAAGGTAGAATACACGGGTCAGTGGGGCAAAGTAGGGGGGCAAGATGGAACAGTACAGGGGGAGGCAAGAAGTACAGTACAGGGGGGGGGTCAGGAGGGCACTGTACAGGGGGGCAGGAGAGCATAGTATTGAGAGGCAGGAGGGCACAGTTCAAGTGGTCAGGAGAGCACAGTACAGAGGGGGCAGGAGGGCACAATACAGAGGAGGTCAGGAGAGCAAAATACAGAGGAGTCAGGAGGGCACAATGCAGAGGAGGTCAGGAGGGTACAGTACAGAGGCGGCAGGAGGGCACAATACAGAGGAGGAGGTCAGGAGGGTACAAGGCAGAGGAGGTCAGGAGGGTACAGTACAGAGGAGGTCAGGAGGGCAAAGTACAGAGGGGGCAGGAGGGCACAATACAGAGGAGGTCAGGAGGGCAAAATACAGAGGAGGTCAGGAGGGCACAATGCAGAGGAGGTCAGGAGGGTACAGTACAGAGGCGGCAGGAGGGCACAATACAGAGGAGGTCAGGAGGGTACAGTACAGAGGAGGTCAGGAGGGCAAAGTACAGAGGTCAAAAGAACACAATACTGGAGTCAGGAGAGCACCATACAGAGTGGGCAGGAAGGCACAGTACAGAGGGAGCAGGAGCACAAAACAGGGGGGGCAGGAGGGAACAGTACAGAGGGGGCAGGAGGGCACAGTACAGAGGGGGTCAGGAAGGCACAATACTGGGGTCAGGAGAGCACATACAGAGTGGGCAGGAGGGCAGAGTACAGAGGGAACATGAGAGCACAGTACAGAGGGGGCAGGGGAACACAGTAAAGAGGGGGCAGGGGAACACAGTACAGAGGGGGCAGGGGGGCACAGTACAGAGGGGGCAGGAGGGCACAGTACAGAGGGGTCAGGAGGCACAGTACAGAGGGGTCAGGAGGGCACAGTACCGATGGGGTCAGGAGGGCACAGTACAGGGGGGTCAGGAGGGCACAGTACCAATGGGGTCAGGAGGGCACAGTACAAAGGGGGTCAGGAAGGCACAATACTGGGGTCAGAAGAGCACATACAGAGTGGGCAGGAGGGCAGAGTACAGAGGGAACATGAGAGCACAGTACAAGGAGGCAGGAGGGCACAGTACAGGGGGGTCAGGGGAACACAGTAAAGAGGGGGCAGGAAGGCACAGTACAGGGGGGTCAGGAGGGCACAGTACAGGGGGGTCAGGAGGGCACAGTACAGAGGGGTTCAGGAGGGCACAGTACAGAGGGGTTCAGGAGGGCACAGTACAGAGGGGCAGGAGGGCACAGTACAGAGGGGGCAGGAGGGCACAGTACAGGGGGGTCAGGAGGGTACAGTACAGCACTCAGCAAGGCACAGTACGGGGTGCAGGAGGGTACAATATAGGGTGCAGTAATGTATAATACAGAGATGGTCTCCTAAAGCAGAGCAGCGCAGGGAGGCTACTGTTACTGGGCTAAATCTACAACTGGAATGTCATCTTCCCTTCTACCTTCTCCCCACAGATTCTTGCGCTCTTCCAGCGCTTTTCAGGGGTTTAGGGAAGAACCCTCAAGGCGGAGCGTCTTACCACTGCTGATGCATGTGTGGGCAGGATGTGCATTGATCCGATCCCATGGGATGAATAGGAGAACCAGTGAGGATTGGAGCAGTACCTTGCCCACCCAAGCAGCAGAAGTAGTAAGATGGTCTGCCTTGGGGACTGTCCCTTAACTTCTGCAAGAAGAGTGAACTGCAGTGCCCAGAGGTGGCCATGATCATAGAGAATGGGGGAGCTACCAATGACAAGTTGACCGGAGTTTAGCTTTGATGCGTTCCTCGGTTGTTGGTGGAGTTCTTGGTGATGGATATAAGTTGGTAGAATGGACTTCTTTAAAGTATATATATGAAATAGCAACAGTTTCAGGTTCCCATTAATTAGATTAAGTGTATTGATCACCAAGCTCGTGTCCGGTTGTTTATCGGATTGTAATCAAACAGCGGTGTTTTATGGATTTTAAGGTGATCTCTTAGGGGTCCGGTATAAATCACGTGTGAAAGCGTCACGCTCAAGGAGGTATAGATCATGGAATTGCTGACCGAAACAATTTCATGGTAGCGGTCTAATCTGTTATTTGGCATTTTGTGAGATCATTGGTGAAGCTGAGTGATTCTAGCAGTCAAGCGGCCGGTTTTTATGTGCTCAGGGTCGATTTATAGGTGCCGATGTCAGCTGCAACGCTGCAGGGAGGTCTGACTATTTATATCTCTTTCAATTCCTGCCAATGTTTTCTAGATTTGATAGGAACGGGAAAGAGTTAACAGTTATTTCCCGTGTTTACTACAATCTGTGACCCCCTTGGGGATTTTTTTCCCCCCATTTCCTGTCCATGTGACACCCTCACTAGGTGCTTTCAACACCAGGACAGGACTGCATTTTTTGGGGGTTTGTTTAATAAATGCAAATGGACTATGCACTTTGCAAGTGCAGTTGCACTTATTTTCGCCAGAGCTCAGTGAATGCGGTGAAGATTCACTTTGTAAAGAACATCCAATCAGGTGCAAGGAAAATAAAAATAAAAAACAGCATTTTTCTTGCACTTGATTGGATGATGGAAATCAGCAGAGCTTCCCCTTATTCATCAGGCTCTGGGGACTGAACTTTCAAATGCAGAGTCTGTTTGCCTTTATTAAATCAAACCCTCAGTCAGAAATTTTAACTCTTCCCTGTAAAAAAATGTTGTATTTGTCTCTGTCCCCATTGTAAATATTTTCAATCACTTTCTAGTCTGAAAGGAATTAAAGGGGAATGGCTCCAATAGGGATACAGACAGCAAAACTTGACAGAGGCTTTAACTTTTCCCCACAGGGGCGTAGCTACAGGGGTCGCAGGAGATGAAATTGCGACCCGGCCCCATGCTGAAGGGGGCCCTTGTGGCCCCCTGTATGCCTGGATCAGAGGAGCGGCGGGGGAATTAAAGAGGAATGGCTCCAATAGGGATACACAGGGCAAAACTTGACAGAGGCTTTAACCTTTCCCCAGAGGGGTGTAGCTACAGGGGTCACAACTGCGACCCGGCCCCAGGTTGAAGGGGGCCCGTGTGGCCCCCTGTATGCCTGGATCAGAGGAGTGGCAGGGGTATTAAAGGGGAATGGTTCTAATAGGGATACACAGGGCAAAACTTGACAGAGGCTTTAACCTTTCCCCAGAGGGGTGTAGCTACAGGGGTCACAATTGCGACCCGGCCCCAGGTTGAAGGGGGCCCGTGTGGCCCCCTGTATGCCTGGATCAGAGGAATGGCAGGGGTGTTAAAGGGGAATGGCTCTAATAGGGATACAGTGGGCAACACTTGACAGAGGCTTTAACCTTTCCCCAGAGGGGTGTAGTTACAGGGGTCACAATTGCGACCCGGCCCCAGGCTGAAGGGGGCCCGTGTGGCCCCCTGTATGCCTGGATCAGAGGAGTGGCAGGGGTATTAAAGGGGAATGGCTCCAATAGGGATACAGTGGGCAAAACTTGACAGAGGCTTTAACCTTTCCCCAGAGGGGTCTAGCTACAGGGGTCACAATTGCGACCCGGCCCCAGGCTGAAGGGGGCCCATGTGGCCCCCTGTATGCCTGGATCAGAGGAGTGGGAGGAGTATTAAGGGGAATGGCTATAATAGGGATACAGTGGGCAAAACGTGACAGAGGCTTTAACCTTTCCCCAGAGGGGTGTAGCTACAGGGGTTACAGGGGTCACAATCGTGACCTGGCCCTATGCTGAAGGGGGCCCATGTGGCCCCCTGTATGCCTGGATCGGAGGAGCAGCAGGGGAGACTGCATATACTGTAGAGGAACCAATCTCTTCATGTTCCTCCTGCAGCTGCAGAACGCCTGTGAGAGAGGAAGAGTAGCAGGCATTCAGCGGATGCAGAAGGAACAGAGATGGATTCCTCTATATGCAGCCACCCCGCCGCTTCTCCTATCTAGCTTCTTTCAGCAGCACCTGAGCTGAGAGAGTTAGTCCTGACAGCTCCTCTGGAATTGGGCTTTAAGTCACCTAGCTGTCATGCTAATCCTCTGGCTTCAATACATTGAGCCAGGGGTGTTAATACGATCCATAGGGCCCAGTAGCAATATTTTCATGGTCCCTCCCCCCCTCTTTTAAATAAAAGCTGATCATTGTAAGCATTCCTGCCAGTATTAAATGGTTTGTCTCATCTCTGTAAACTGCTACATCAGGAAGAGAGCTTGTTAAGCATTGGAAGGCTACAATATATTAAACGTTTGTTTTGCAGCAATGCGATTGATCTTAGTGTCCAGCTGAAACGTTTTAAAATGCGATTGTTCCTGCATCCATGACCGAGTGATGGCATGCCATTGATGCAGTCCCAATCACATTTAAGTTCTCTCTCTTGTCAGAGATTTACATGAAGGAGCTTTTATTTTGAGTCCTGTGTTTACCAAATTGGTTAAGTCCTGAAGAAGGATTTTTTTTTTCGCCCCTGAAATGCATTTCTCCTTCGTGTTGCAATGATAACAATAAAGGATTTTGAAAATACAAAAAAAAATGTGTTGTGCTGCCCCTTTAAATCAACAAATCAAACAAAAACAATCATAATAAATGTGATCATGAAACAATTTAAAGTGTTACTAAACCCAGGACCCTTCATTCACTATATCCGCTCTCCCCGGACCCTGCATTCACTATATCCGCTCTCCCCGGACCCCGCATTCACTATATCCGCTCTCCCCGGACCCTTCATTCACTATATCCGCTCTCCCCGGACCCTTCATTCACTATATCCGCTCTCCCCGACCCTTCATTCACTATATATCCGCTCTCCCCGGACCCTGCATTCACTATATCCGCTCTCCCCGGACCCTGCATTCACTATATCCGCTCTCCCCAGACCCCGCATTCACTATATATGCTCTCCCCGGACTCCGCATTCACTATATCCGCTCTCCCCGGACCCCACATTCACTATATCCGCTCTCCCCGGACCCCACATTCACTATATCCGCTCTCCCCGGACCCCGCATTCACTATATCCGCTCTCCCCGGACCCCGCATTCACTATATCCGGTCTCCCCGGACCCCGCATTCACTTTATCCGCTCTCCCCGGACCCCGCATTCACTATATCCGCTCTCCCCGGACCCTGCATTCACTATATCCGCTCTCCCCGGACCCTGCATTCACTATATCCGCTCTCCCCGGACCCCGCATTCACCTATATCTGCTCTCCCCGGACCCGCATTCACTATATCCGCTCTCCCCGGACCCCGCATTCACTATATCCGCTCTCCCCGGACCCTGCATTCACTATATCCGCTCTCCCGGACCCCGCATTCACTATATCCGCTCTCCTCGGACCCTGCATTCACTATATCCGCTCTCCCCGGACCCCGCATTCACTATATCCGGTCTCCCCGGACCCCGCATCCACTATATCCGTTCTCCCCGGACCCTGCATTCACTATATCTGCTCTCCCCGGACCCCTGCATTCACTATATCCGCTCTCCCCGGACCCCGCATTCACTATATCCGGTCTCCCCGGACCCTGCATCCACTATATCCGGTCTCCCCGGACCCTGCATCCACTATATCCGGTCTCCCCGGACCCCGCATTCACTATATCCGCTCTCCCAAGACCCTGCATTCACTATATCCGGTCTCCCAGGACCCTGCATTCACTATATCCGGTCTCCCCGACCTTGCATTCACTATATCTGCTCTCCCCGGACTCTGCATTCACTATATTTGGTCTCCCAGGACCCTGCATTCACTATATCCGCTCTCCCCGGACCCTGCATTCACTATATCTGGTCTCCCCAGACCCTGCATTCACTACATCCGGTCTCCCCAGACCCTGCATTCACTATATCCGGTCTCCCCGGACCCTTCATTCACTATATCCGCTCTCTCCGGACCCCGCATTCACTATATCCGCTCTCCCCGGACCCCGCATTCACTATATCTGCTCTCCCACAGTACACAGAACATGGAAATGCCATTATTTTACAAAATATAAACTGCTAAATACCTTTTCTTATCAGCCATATATAAAAGTCTTGTGGCTTTTATCAGTGTCCAGCTGAGCACTGGTTAAAGCTAAAAAGGAGGAGTTTTCATTCTCCTCTGACTGCCCTATGAGGCTACAGACATTGGTCACTGGTGCCTTCCCCCTCAAATCCACAACCAGCTTCTTTGTCCTAGTCACATTTAGATACAGATAATTATCCTCATTCCTTGTGACAAAGTTCTCCACCGCAGTCCTATACTCAGTTTCTTTCCCATCCATCATACAAGGTGTGTCCAGAATATAAAGAGGGAAGCTGGCCAAGGTCACTTGGGGGGGGGGGTGCCAGGTAAACGTTAGAACACTGATCAATCACATTCCAGCCCTGTCAGAGGAGTCGAGACATTCTTTTTAGTGACATTCTGTTCAAGTGCCTCTTATTAACCTCCCTAGCGGTCTGATTATGTCCGTATTTCTGTGCTCAAAGCGGTACATTTTTTTGCATGGAAATATGTATTTTTTTATTGTAGGCCTGTAATTTTTAGGAATAACTCACTGAAATCTGTCCGAACAAGAGTCTAGTAAACATCCCGGGGATGATAAAACTTGAAACACGAAATTATAAATTATAATATAATAAATAATCATAAAAAATAATAATATAATAATAATAAATGTAATTCAATAATATAATCAAACCAAAAACACTGAAATGTGAAATAGAGCGCCAAGTTCGCACATCGCTGATCAAAGTCGCAGAATCGTTTTCAGTGTCTGATGAGGAATTTCCCCCATGAATCATTATCACTCAATTCTGCAAGTGGTTCTGATTTACTATCGCTGTTCTCTAGCCGGTCTAAAACCGCGTCTGACCTAAAGGGACGCTTTTTGGACGCCATGGACGTTTCTCAGTTTCCAGGCAGAAAGAACAGTAAAAATGCAGGCAGGGCGCCGGACAAAGCACTCGGGACAAAATGTATGTGAAATGGTTTGATACCAGGGGTGGACTGACCATTTGGCAACTCAGGCACTGCCCGAGGGCCCGGGGTTAGTAGGGGCCCCATGAGATGCCCCTGGTACCTTTTACATAGGCTTTTTTGAGTTTGGGCAAGGACACAGGGGCCCCATGATTCCCTATTGCCCGGGGGCCCCATGAGTTGTCAGGCCGCCCCTGTTTGATACAGGAATGTTATACTATGTGATTTTAGTGTATTAGTGAATGTCACTTTTTAAAATTTTCAGATTTCCCGCCGGTTATGTCCCGACGCTCGCAGGGGATGGAACCCAGAAGACAGATGCCGGCATCGGCCGGAGGACATTACAGGGGACACTGCAGGGGGGACATCGCGGGAGCGCAGGACAAGGTAAGTGCAGGAGGAATCCCTGAGCAACGCTGCAGTGTATTCCCGAGTGTAGCTCGGGGGGGTTACCGCTTTTGATACTGAAACTTTACCCCGAGCTACACTCGGGAATACCGCTAGGGGTTAAGAAAACTGCAAGTGAGTTTGGAACAGCGATACACGATATAATTATGTGTAAACTTGGGTAAAAGTGCAGCAAAACTTTGGAAATGCTGAGGAAAGCTTATGGAGAAGTTGGCTATCATCTGCACAAGTGTACCGATGACAAGACCTTCATGGAAGGATGAGAAGGTGTTGAAGACCACCAACGATCAGGACGGCTTTCTTCATCAAAAAAGGAACAGAATGAACAGAATGTAAATGCGATGAGGTCTGTTCTCAACTGTGACCGATGGCTCACTATCAGAATAATTGAAGAGGGAACGGGAATGATCAAGTCAACTGTTCATGAAATCGTAACTCAGGATTTGTTCCAAAGAACTGGTCACCTGACCAGAAGGAACACCGTCAACTTGTTTGCCAAGACCTGTTGGCCTGTTTGGAAAGAGTCTGATTTTGTGAGTCAAGTCATCTTGGGAGATGATTCTTGGGTGTTTGATTATGATCTCGAGATGAAGAAACAATGTTCTGAATGGCACACACCCACTTCACCTCGCCCCAAGAAAGCTCGAATAAGCAAATCAATGGTCGTTGGGTTTTTTTTTGTATTTACGTGGAATTGTCCATAACAGGGGCAGACTGACAATTCATGGGGCCCCCGGGCAATAGGAGATCCTGGGGCCCCTGTGTCCTTGCCCAAACTCAAAAAAGCCTATGAAATAGGTACCAGGGGCATCTCATGGGGCCACCTACTGACCCCGGGCCCTCGGGCAGTGCCCCTGGTCTATAAAGATTTTGTACCTACTGGTCAAACTGTGAATTAAAGATTTTACATGGAAGAGTTTTTCGTGTTTGTACTGAGATCGTCTTAACTTGGATCCTTCATCGCGACAATGCACAGTGCTTTAGCTGTCAGAACTGTTTGCTGAAAAACACATCACGGTGCTTCCCCATCCACCCTACAGCCCCCACTTGGCTCCTTGCAGCTTTTTCATGTTCCTAAAGATGAGGAAGGGTTTGAAAGGACACCATTCTGGTATTGTGGATAACTTCCAAAGAGTCACTACGCAGGCTCTGAACGACATCCCATTTGAAGACTTCCAGGGATGCTACAAAGAATGGATAAATTGCTGGGTGTGTATACTCACAAGGTGCATACTCTGAAGGAGACAATGTTCAATTGTAAAACTTTTCAATAAAATAATTTTTGAAATATCATTTTCATGAATTTCTGGACACACCTCATACATCCCACCACCGCAGAGTCACCAGAAAACTTCTGAAGATGAAAAAAAAACTCTGGTAGCTGAAATCAGTGGTATAGACAGTAAAGAGGAAGGAAGAGAGAACAGTCTTCTGTGGAACCCCAATACTGCTGATCACCCTATCTGACACACCGTTCTGCAAACGCACATACTGCAGTCTTCCTATCAGATAGTTCCCAATCCATGACACAAGGGGAACATCAACTTGTACCGTTGCTAGCTTCTCGCTCAAGAGATCCGGCCTATTAGTATCAAAAACCACTGAAGAAGTAAAAAACACGACCTTCACAGTGCTCGATGGGTTTTCCAGGTATGCATGAAGATGATAGTGTCCTCAACTCCCAGTCTCAGCTGGTAGGCAAACTGCAAAGAGTCTAAGTATTTACTAACCATGGGCCTTAACTGATGTAAAACAAGCCTCTCCAAGATCTTCAAAATGTGGGAGGTCAAAGCCACTGGTCTGTAATCCTTGGAACCACAAGGACACGGTATCTTTGGCACAGGAACAAGGCAAGACGTCTTCCACAACACAGAGGCCTTTTATAGGCTCAGGTTAAAGACCTGCTGAAGGACACTCCCTAGCTGGTCTGCACATGCCCTGAGCACCCAGGGGCTAACACCATCAGGGCCTGCTGATTTTTCTGTCTTAAAGTGTTACCAAACCCCGCACCCCGCATTCACTATATCTGCTCTCCCCGGACCCTGCATTCACTATATCCGCTCTCCCCGGACCCTGCATTCACTATATCCGCTCTCCCCGGACCCCGCATTCACTATATCCGCTCTCCCCGGACCCTGCATTCACTATATCCGCTCTCCCCGGACCCCGCATTCACTATATCCGGTCTCCCCGGACCCTGCATTCACTATATCCGCTCTCCCCAGACCCCGCATTCACTATATCTGCTCTCCCCGGACCCTGCATTCACTATATCTGGTCTCCCCAGACCCTGCATTTACTATATCCGCTCTCCCCGGACCCTGCATTCACTATATCCGGTCTCCCTGGACCCTGCATTCACTATATCCGCTCTCCCCGGACCCTGCATTCACTATATCCGCTCTCCCCGGACCCTGCATTCACTATATCCGGTCTCCCCAGACCTTGCATTTACTATATCCGCTCTCCCCGGACCCTGCATTCACTATATCCGGTCTCCCTGGACCCTGCATTCACTATATCCGCTCTCCCCGGACCCCGCATTCACTATATCCGCTCTCCCCGGACCCCGCATTCACTATATCCGCTCTCCCCGGACCCCGCATTCACTATATCCGCTCTCCCCGGACCCCGCATTCACTATATCCGCTCTCCCCGGACCCCGCATTCACTATATCCGCTCTCCCCGGACCCTGCATTCACTATATCTGGTCTCCCCGGACCCTGCATTCACTATATCTGGTCTCCCCAGACCCTGCATTCACTATATCCGCTCTCCCCGGACCCTGCATTCACTATATCCGCTCTCCCCGGACCCCGCATTCACTATATCCGCTCTCCCGGACCCCGCATTCACTATATCTGGTCTCCCCGGACCCCGCATTCACTATATCCGCTCTCCCCGGACCCCGCATTCACTATATCCGCTCTCCCCGGACCCTGCATTCACTATATCTGGTCTCCCCGGACCCCGCATTCACTATATCCGCTCTCCCCGGACCCTGCATTCACTATATCCGCTCTCCCCGGACCCCGCATTCACTATATCCGCTCTCCCCGGACCCTGCATTCACTATATCTGGTCTCCCCGGCGGACCCCGCATTCACTATATCCGCTCTCCCCAGACCCTGCATTCACTATATCTGCTCTCCCCGGAATCTGCAATAACTATATCTGGTCTCCTTGGACCCGGCATTCATTATATCTGGTCTCCCCGGACCCGGCATTCATTATATCCGCTCTCCCCGGACCCCGCATTCACTATATCTGGTCTCCCACAGTACACAGAACATGGAAATGCAATTACTTTAGTAAATAAAAACTGCTAAATACCTTTTCTCATCAAGCAGTATATAGCAGTCTTGTGACTTCTATCAGTGTCCAGCAGAGCACTGGTTAAAGCTTGTAGGAGGAGTTTCCATTCTCCTCTGATTGTCCTATGAGGCTGCATAACCCCTAACCCTTTGACACCCATTGGTGTCAGTTCTCCAGGAACACATGCTATGTAGCCTGGTGTATGAACCTGTGCCATTAAAAACATATCCTAGACTTGCCACTGATGCTCTATAGCAGATGGATTGGGGAGAGCAAAAAGAAGGGGAGGATCAGAGGAGATAGGATCAAACAGCCTTTTTACACAATGCAGAGGATTAACCCCTTAGGTTCCACAGTGAGTATAACAAGCATGCTTTACGGCATCTACAGACTGATTGTACTGTTGTGGGTTTAGCAACACTTTATGTCTCCTGAACTGTCTACTCACCTGGCCAGTATGGTAATGACAGCCTGGATAAATCTGCAGTGTGTGGGGTCCTAGGGGGTCTCTGGAGTTGTAATGTGGGTGGCGTAGCATTGGCAATTGGTAAGCTACAACAAAATAAATGTTTTGGTTTGGAGATGGTGGATTATACTGTGCTAAGCTTTGCCCCTCTACTGCCTAAGCAATCCTGTTCCTTAATAGCACATGAGTACTGCAAAACAGGTGATTGGCTCCTTGCATTGCTTCCCCTTTCTCAAGTAAAAGCTCTGCTGCACAGAGGCTGATCCCAAGTCAAAATCAGGCACTTGCACTACTTGCATTAAAAAATGCATTTAACCCAGGGGTGGGCAAACTTTTTGACTTGAGGGCCGCAATGGGTTCATATATTGGACCCGGGGGCCGGACCAAGAGTAGATGAATGATGTGTATGTGTCATCCATAGTAAGTATAGTAATATTCCCCCATAGTAAGCATAGTAATTAATCCCCCATATAGTAATTCATCTCCCATAGTAATTCATCCCCCATATAGTAATTCATCCCCCATATAGTAATTCATCCCCCATAGTAATTCATCCCCCATATAGTAATTCATCCCCCATATAGTAATTCATCCCCCATAGTAATTCATCCCCCATATAGTAATTCATCCCCCATAGTAATTCATCCCCCATAGTAATTCATCCCCCATATAGTAATTCACCCCCCATATAGTAATTCATCCCCCATAGTAATTCATCCCCCATATAGTAATTCATCCCCCATATAGTAATTCATCCCCCATAGTAATTCATCCCCCATATAGTAATTCATCTCCCATAGTAATTCATCCCCCATATAGTAATTCATCCCCCATATAGTAATTCATCCCCCATATAGTAATTCATCCCCCCTATAGTAATTCATCCCCCATATAGTAATTCATTCCCCATATTAATTCATCCCCCATATTAAGTCCCCAAGTCCCCCCTGTGTCAATTCACTTACCTTTGCTCCGCGCGTTCCTCTCGCCGTATTCCCGCGCCGTTCCGGTGTAGCATGAAAATCTGTCTCCTATGAGGATCTGTCCCCCTCGACGTATCTGCGCATGTGCCAGTTTCAGGCATTAGCAGCCGATCGGCGATCTCCGGCACATGCGCAGATACGTCGAGGGGGACAGATCCTCATAGGAGACAGATTTTCATGCTACACCGGTCTTCAGGGCGGACTGTGAGAGGAGCCTAGCAGGAGCCTAGCTCCGCGGGCCGGATTGAAAGGTCCGCCGGGCCATATACGGCCCGCGGGCCGTATACGGCCCGCGGGCCGTAGTTTGCCCATTGCTGATTTAACCCCATCCTTATGCGTATGTATCGCCCCTCTAGATAGCCAGGGGGAGCTAGATAGTTTTTTTTTAGTAAGAGAAGCTGAAGCGCACAGTGCGCAGAAGTTGCCAACTCTCTGCAGAGTCAATAGCTAAAGACCTTCAAACTTGGTGTGGCCATCAGATTAGCCCAACAACAGTGTATAGAGAGCTTCATGGAATGGGTTTCCATGGCCGAGCAGCTGCATCCAATCCTTCCATCACCAAGTGCAATGCAAAGCATCAGATGCCGTGGTGTAAAGCACGCCGCCACTGGACTCTAGAGCAGTGGAGATGTGTTCTCTGGAGTGACCAATCACGCTTCACTGTCTGGCAATCCAATGGACTTGTCTGGGTTTGGCGGTTGCCAGGAGAACGGTACTTGCCTGACTGCATTGTACCAAGTGTAAAGTTTGGTGGGGGGGGTTATGGTGTGGGGTTGTTTTTCAGGGGTTGGGCTTGGCCCCCTAGTTCTAGTGAAGGGAACTCTTAAGGCAACATTTTGGACAATTTCATGCTCCCAACTTTGTGGAAAGAGTTTGGGGATGGCCCCTTCCTGTTCCAACATGACTGCGCCACCAGTGCACAAAGCAAGGTCCATAAAGACATGGAGGAGCCAGTTTGGGGTGGAGGAACTTGACTGTCCTGCACAGAGTCCTGACCTCAACCCCATAGAACACCTTTGGGATGAATTAGAGCGGAGACAGCGAGCCAGGCCTCCTCCCCCGACATCAGTGCCTGACCTGACAAATGTGCTTCTGGAAGAATGGTCCAACCTTCCCATAGACACCCTCCTAAACTTTGTGGACGGCCTTCCCAGAAGAGTTGAAGCTGTTATAGCTGCAAAGGGCGGGGCCAACTCAATATTGAACCCTACGGACTAAGACTGGGGGGACATTAAAGGTCATGTGTGTGGAAAGGGTGGGGCCAACTCAATATTGAACCCTACAGACTAATGCAGACCATAGACGGGTCGAAAACCGGTCATTTAAAAAAAAAAAAAAAAAATCGGTCGTTCGATCGGCCGACGTTACCACCTACGGTAAAAAAAAAAAATCAGCTGATTTTCGTCCCGTCTATGGCCGGCATTTAACCCCATAATAACTTCTGTCCCTAAGAATTACACTCCACTATTATATCTAATGTCTTGCGATTGCAACAATGTATCCATTTCGGATACAGATGTTTTTATTCAGATACAAATGGATACATTGTTGCAACTGCAAGACTTTTCATATAAAATATAATAGAGGACTGGAATTCTTCTTCTTCTTCTTATTTTCTTCTTTTTGCAGGTCACGGAAGATTTTTTATCGGTAAAACAATCGGCGGATTTTCCCATCATTGCCGGGAAAATCAGCCGATCGTCAAAATCGGCCGTGAATTTTCCAACATGCCCGATAAAAAAAAATGTGCAAAAAGCCCGAAAAACGGCCGACCAATTAACCCACTAATGGTGTGAAAATCGGCCGATTTTTGACCCGTCTATGGCCGGCATAAGACTTGGATGCCATTACAGTTCATGTGTGTGGAGAGGCAGGCGGCCCAATACTTTTGGCAACATAGTGTATTAATGATTACAGAGCTGCAATACTCCAGGCCTTGTATATCTCTCCGGAGTTCAGTTTTACCACCAAAATCAGAAATTTCCAAGATAACGCGTATGGACCCATGGGAAGGATTAGTGATTTTCTTGATTTTCGGGGCGTTGCTGTGGAAGCTGCACAAAAAAAAAAAAAGATTAGTTTGTTTCTCTTTTAAATGAAATTGATCGGTCCGCAGGCTATTGAGGAGCAATAAAGGTGTTTTTGACGGCGATAAGCGGAGAACCTCGTTCATCCCCCAGCGCTGGCGTCCTGTGGCTCTTAGGCCTGACTCAGACAATAATTCTCATTGTTAGTGGCTTCCTGTTGAGAATGCTCTGGAATTTTCTGCCCGCCGTGCTTCTGTGTCTCATTTCTCATCCGACATGCGGCGTGCGTAGCCTCCGCCAACTCTGCGATCATACAAACACTCTGCAGCCCCCGTTCCTAACATCCCACTGAGTCCTC